TGAGGGATTAAAGATTGAAAAGGTTTCTGTTTAGGAAATTGCGGGGGTTTGTGGCTGGAGGCACAAGGTTGGTGGGCATTGCCTTTGGTAGTTCTAGGCTTACTCCAGGAGGCCTGAGGCAGGAGGATTGCTTGAGCCAGGTTGTTTCAGGCTATAAATGCAGTAAGATTGGGCCTGTTAATAGCCCTGCACCCAGCCTAGGCTCATAGGTGAGGCCTCCTTATCTTAAATTAAAAAAAAAAAAAAAGTGGATGTGAAGGGTCTGGTGAAAATCAGGATTCTGTGGGAAGTTCGAGGGAGTGACTAACGCTACTCTAAAGGTAGGGAGGACACCAGGTGTAATGGCTCATGATCAGGCAAATGCAGAGAGTGAAATACATGCTGAGGGATGGTGAGTGGGGAATAGGCATACTCGCGGGATAGAGGACGGAAGGGCTGTACATATTTGGAGAAATAAGGAGGAAAACTGTAAGAATGTTATGATTATGGAAGCCAAGGAAGCGTAATTTTAAACGGTATTTGGGAGTGATCAGCAGTTTCAAATATTACAGAGAGAGATCAAGTGTAAAGCTGAAAACATGTCTGGAGAACACAGCAATTTAGGTCATTGATATCCTTGAAAAGTCAGTTTTGGGGCAGTAATAAAAGAGAAAGCCTTATTGTAGGTTGGTTAAGAATTAATTTACTAAGTGTGCGTTTCGGTACTCATGTGCTTGTTTTAAAAAGTTATAAGGATTTAAAAACATACGAATACTTCCTTAAAAAATAATCATAGTAATATATTACTATATGTTGTGTTTTGTTTTAGAGACAAGGTATTACCTGTTTGGGCCGGCGTTGGTCTTGAATTCGGTGACTGCAGTGATCTTACCGGTGCCTTAGCCTCCCCCCAAGGTGGCTTGGGAATTATAGGCATGAGCACTGCGCCTGGCCAAAAAATTTATATTTTATTTATATGTATATTTGTAGGAGACGGTCGTTGCTATGTGTTGCCCAGGCTTTCTTGAACTCCTGACCTCAAGTGATTCCTCCCTCTCGGCCTCCCAAAGTGCCGGGATTACAGGCGCGAGACCCATATCTAGGCAAGAATAATTTGTGGTGTTGTTTAGAAATGGCATACAAGTTAAGTAGACACATTTAGTAATTAGTGGAATAAGTTACTAAATACAAGGAATAACTTTCTGGCTTGGGGGCAGAAGGAGGTGGATGTATTTGGAAAGGACGGAGTGGGTCTCCAAACTATGGTACATTCTGCTTTTTTTTTAGGCTTAAGGTGATGAGTACATTATTCATTATTAGTATTTTAATGTTCATATTACCTTTTTGAACATCTGAAAGATTTTTAAATAATGTTTAAAAGAGAGAACGGAGCAAAAAAGACCAACCAAAAACAGAAAGATCCATTTGAAAGAAATTGAGGGAATATTCAATGAATAGAACTTAACTCTTTGTTATCATTTATAGTTTTTCAGAACCAGGAGAGTCCCTGTTCCAAAAGTTCGTATTGTGTCCCATTGGAAAAAGAACCTGAAATTTTGGAGTATTTCTGGACTCTACACTTTAAGGAACTTTTAGTAGGCTTAGGAAAATTTAGGATTGGTCTTTAAAAACCAGGCTTCATGAGGCTGGGTGGGCGGTGGTGGTGTGCGCCTGTGAGTCCCAGCTACTTGAGATGCTGGAGGCAAGAGAATGTGCTTGAGCCCGGGAGTTCCCAGGCTCAGTGGAGCTGTGATTCACCACCTGCGTTTTAGGCCTGAGTGACAGGAGCGAGACCTTGTCTCGTTAAACAACCAATGAATCGGGCTCTGTCATTTTTGGGCTGGCATAATTTCAGACCATTACTTGTAACTTTTCTTGAGTTCTCAGTTTTCTTGTTTGTAAAATGGGAATATTAGTACTTACCCTATAGTGTTCATGATGCATGTAAATGCTACTTCTTAGGTTATGATAATTTAAAAAAGACAATTCATATAAATCTCTTTCTTCGGTTGATAATAATAATCTTATATACTTGGCCGGGTACAGTGGCTCACCTTTGTAATCCCAACACTTTTGGGAGGTCAAGGTGGGTGGATACTTGAGCCAGAGGTTTAAGACCATCCTGGCGCCCACATGGCAAACCCCTGGTCTTACTAAAAATACAAATACTAGCTGAGCCATGGGTGGTGGATGCCTGTTTCCCAGTTGCTCTGGAGGCTGAGGCAGGTGAATCGCTTGAATCAGAAGGCGGGGTTGCAGTGAGCCAAGGAATGCACTAGTGGCACTCCAGCCTGGGTGACACAGCAAGACTGTCTCAAAAAGAAAAATAAGGGCGTGGCACGGTGGCTCACGCCTATAATCCCAGCACTTTGGGAGGCGCCAGGCAGGCATGATTCAACGGAGGTTGGGAGATCGAGCACCATCCTTGGCTACGGATGAAACCTTCGGTCTCTACTAAAAGATACAAAAATTTAGCTGGGGCGTCCGGTGGCAGGCCACCTGTTCAGGTCGCAGCTACTTCAGAGGCTGAGGCAGGAGAATCGGCTTGAAACCGGGAGGCAGAGAGTTGCAGTGAGCGAGATCCTGCCGCTGGCACTCCCAGCCTGCGGCATATCAGACCTGCTCTTCCACACATACTCCTCATTTCAGGTCATGCCATCGTCACTCAATGTGTATGCTGAGCCAGAGTCCAGCAAGTCAACCTCAAGTCCCCTGCCCTTCCTTCCATTTGATTACTAAGTCCTGCTGATTCTACCCACCATATTCCTCTCTCTTTTTTTTTTTTTCTGAGACAGAGTCTTGCTGTGTTGCCCAGGATAGAGTGCAGTGGTGTGATCTCGGCTCACTGTAACCTCCACCTCCCCATTTCAAGTGATTCTCCTGCCTCAGCCTCCCGAGTAGCTGGGACTACAGGCATGTGCCATTACACCTGGCTAATTTTTGTATTGCCAGTGTAGTATTTTTAGGTTTCGCCATATTGCCCAGGCTGGTCTTAAACGCCTGATCCCAGGTTATCTGCCGGCCTCAGCCTCCCAAAGTGCTGGAATTAAAGGAGTGAGCCGCCACATCCGGCCTATATTCTTCTCTTATCAGCCTTCTCTCTCACCTATATCTGTACTTCGTTGCCCTGGTTCAGGGCAATGAACCTTGTCTCGACAAAAAATTTAAAAATTAGTTGGTCATGGTGGTATGTACCTATAGTCCCAGCTGCTTGGGAGGCTGAGGCAGGAGAATCACTTGAGCCCGGAAGGTCAAGGCTGCGGTAAGCTATGATCGCCCCACTGTACTCCAGCCTGGGTGACAGAGGTCCCTACTTCTGCATCATCATCTTCTTTTTCTCTGCTGCCCATATAACCTACATTCTAGTCCCACCTAATCAGTAGGAGTTCCTGAAGCATCACAAGTCCCCCTCATTCTATCCACGCTGACCTTGTACCCAGAATCCCTTCCCCTCCCTGGTCTGTCTGGAACACCTTTAAGACCTGACCTGAGGCCAGGCCCAGTGGCTCACGCCTGTAATCCCAGCACTCTGGGAGACCAAGGCAGGCAGATCACGAGGTTAGGAGTTCAAGGCCAGCCTGGCCAACATGGTGAAACCCCATCTTTACTAAAAATACAAAAATTAACCGGGCATGGTGGTGCATGCCTGTAATCCCAGCTACTCGGGAGGCTGAGGCAGGAGAATCGCTTGAACCCAGGAGGCAGAGGTTGCAGTGAGCTGAGACTGCACCACTGCACTCCAGTCTAGGCAGTAGAGCAAGACTCTATCTCAAAAAAAAAAAAAAGACCTGGCCTGAAAACGATCTCCTCAGTAACATCTTTCTGCCCCACTATGGGTCACTCTTTCCTCTGAATTTCTAATCAACTTCAGTCATATCTTTATTACAGCCTTAATCACACTAAATTCCAATTATGTATTACATGTCTGTCCCCTCAGCCTCTAGCACATGACGAAATGCTTGTTTGGTGAACAAATGAATACATGAATGATTACCTCAACATCCAGTCCAAACTGAATGGCAAAACTCTCAGCTTCAGCAAATCTGTGTTTGTGAAGTAACCGACTCAATCTGATAAGATGGAAAAGAAATTTTGTTAAATGCTTATTAGTCAGGTAATTTAAGTTATTCACTAAAGGGTAAAGCTTAAAAAAAATGAGAAGTTACCTATTTTCTGGTAAAGCTTCTGTAAGACATCTGAGTACTAACACAGAGACTGAGTCTTCAGACAATCTGGAAAAAAATTTCACTATAAATGCACTTGTCTTTTAACATTAATATATAAAATTTAATGTAACTATGACTTAACATGCTAAAACATGACCTACTTTGGATCATTTTTGCAAACTCCTTCTAAAAGGTATATGGTATCCTACAATAACAATAAAAACATGATTAAAATTCCAATATAAGAGCAATGCATTTTATAATTACTAGAGTAACTACTGATAATTCAGGCATGAATTATCCATCAAGGGATTTTAAAACAACTGGGTATCCCATAAATATATATACCTACTATGTAGCCACAAAAATTTAAGGAAAAAAAAACAAACACTGGGAAAAAAATGGCTAGGAAAGATAAATCCCATAGACACAAAATAATATCACACAGGTTACTTACTATTAAGGGAAAAACACTTTACAAATGGAGAAATCTGACAGAACTGCCTTAACCAAATGATCACATTTAAAATCACCCATAACAGGACAAATGGATACCTTGAGCCCCTTAATGTGATGTGGTTAGAAAATAGTGTTACCTGCGCAGTATTCGTGCCAACAAAGCTTAACATGAATCTAATCATGATGAAACAATCAAATCCAAATAGAGAAACATTCTGCAAAACCACAGGGTTGGGACTCTTCAAAAATGTCAATGTCTTAAAAGACAAAAAATGGACCGGATGCAATGGCTCACATGTGTAATCCCAGCACTTTGGGGAGCTGAGTCAAGAAGCTCACTTGAGCTCAGGAGCTTGAGTCTAACCCAGGAAACATAGTGAGACCCCCTCTCTACAAAAAATATACAAATTAGCCAGGTGGTAGTGCACACCTGTAGTCCCAGCTACTCAGGAGGCTGAGGCAGGAGGATCACTTGAGCACAGGAGTTGGCAGCTGTAGTGAGCTATGATCGAGCAACTGTACTACAACTTGGGCAACAGAGCAAGACCCTGTCTCAACAACAACAGAAACACATAGAGAACTAAATTTGATGAGTGATCCTTGATTAGATCATGAATAAGGAAAAACAAAATAGCTTTAAAGTAATTGGCCCAACTGGTAAAATTTGAACCTAGAAGAGTTTATAATAAATAGTAATGTATTTATGTTACATTTTCTGAGTGTGATAATTGCATTGTAGAAGAAGTCCCTTATTTTTAGAAGATACCTGCTGAAGATTTAGGCATGACAGGTCATGATGTCTACAAGTAACTTCCAAAGTTTGGAAAACTATAGTGTGTATGTAAAAAGAAATTAAACAAACGTGGTAAAATATTTTTTAAAATATGTAAATTAGTTATATAAATATGAAAATTAGTTACATAAATATGTAACAGCAAGTCTCCATCTCCCGTTATCATCTATACCTCCTATAGCGACACAAGAAAGAAGAATAAGCAGATGACTGATTTTTTTTTCTCTCTTTTTTAATATGATGACTAATCTTAGACTATCAAGTAAGTATATTCGAGGATCTCTATTAATAAATATAGTTATAAACTTGAAATTTATCCAGGTTTCCACTAGGTTCCACTAATGCTTAGCTTAATTATTAAGGCTTTTAATGATCCCTGATTAGATACTGGATAAAGAAAAAAGTAGTTAAAAGAATAGTTTAAAATGCAAATAAACTTACTGTGCTAATTCCTGTTTGGACCAGAGAAGAAACACTAGATACTTCCAAAGAATATAGTATTTCCATTGTAGGTAATGAATAAACCATGAGGTTTTTCATCTAAGAAAAACAGCAGAGCAATTAATTTAGCAGATCAATTTAAACCTGCAAGCACAAAACAGCACTTCACAACTAAGAGCAGATTAAAACACATGGGAGCGCTGGGCGTGGTGGCTCATGCCTACAATCCCAGCACTTTGGGAGGCCGAGGCAGGCGGATTGCCGGAGCTCTGGAGTTTGAGACCAGCCTGGGCAACACGGTGAAACCCCATCTCTACTAAAATACAAAACATTAGCCGGGTGTGGCAGCGTGCCTCTGTAATCACAGCTACCGGGGAGGCTGAGGCAGGAGAATCTCTGGAACCCAGGAGGCGGAGGTTGTAATAAGCCAAGATTACACCACTGTACTCCAGCCTGGGCGACAGAGTGAGACTCCATCTCAAAAAAAAAAAAAAAAAAAACACATGGGAGCACTTTGGGAGGCTGAGGCAGGCAGATCACTTGAGGTCAGGAGTTGGAGACCAGCCTAGCCAACATGGTGAAACCCCATCTCTACCAAAAAATACCAAAAAATTTAGCTGGAACGTAGTGGTGCACGTCTGTAATCCCAGCTACTTGGGAGGCTGAGGCAGGAGAATTGCTTGAACCCGGGAGGAAGACGTTGCGGTAAGCCGAGATTGCACCACTGCACTCCAGCCTGGGTGAAAGAGTGAGACTGTCTCTAAATAAATAAAAAAATAAATAAAACACACAGTACAAAGCTAAATGCAAAAAATAAGCATTTATAAGTAAGCCTGTTACTGTATGACTTATCTTATTTTACTTTTTTTTGAGATGGAGTTTCGCTCTTGTTGCCCAGGCTGGAGTACAATGGCTCGCTCTCGGCTTACTGCAACCTCTGCCTCCAGGGTTCCAGTGATTCTCCTGTCCCAGCCTCTTGAGTAACTGGAATTATAGGTGCACGCCACCACATCCGGCTAATTTTTTATATTTTTAGTAGAGACTGGGTTTCACCATGTTGTCCAGGCTGGTCTCAAACTCCTGACCTCAAGTGATCCACCCACCTTGGCCTCCCAAAGTGCCGGGATTACAGGTGTGAGCCACCGCACCCAGCTTGTTACTGTATGATTTAAATGTCACATATGAAATAATGTTCTACCCCATATTCCAAATATGTTGAATGAAAATCCATACATATACCTGAAGCCCATTCTACAGTTTGTACTTAAGGTGAATATAATTCCTCAGTGCCAGAACTACGTAAGAGTCACTCTAATAAACACTTTCTTGGGCCAGGCGCAGTGGCTCACACCTGTAATCCCAGCACTTTGGGAGGCTGAGGTGGGCAAATCACGAGGTCAGGAGACTGAGACAAGCCTGGTCAAAATGGCGAAACCCTGCCTCTACTAAAAATACAAAAATTAGCTGGGCGTGGTGGCAGGCGCCTGTAATCCCAGCTACTTGGGAGGCTGAAGCAGGAGAATTGTTTGAACCCAGGGGGCGAGGGGTTGCAGTGAGCCGAGATTGTGCCATAGCACTGCAGCCAGGGGGACAGTGCGAGACCCCATCTCAAAAAAATAATAATAAAATAAAATAAACACTTTGCTATGGGCATTTTTGGTTCCTGAAGTGCTCCATTTAAAATATGGAGACAAGATTTATAGCTTTTTACTTTAAATGGGGAAAAAAAAGAGTTCTGCAGGATTATTTCTGATTGTTAGGTTTCGTGTGAACTAAGAGCTAATATGCTGTATTATTTAACATCTACTTTTGTATTCGCTAATGCTTTTTCTGACACATAATATAGACAAGCACGAAATAAAATTTTCCAATACCTTCTTATTAGCTGTAGCTGTCAGAGCTATTAATTTGAGATTTGTAATTCCTTGCCTAAAAGAGAAAAGAAGCTTTAAATAATTCAAGTAAGCTTTTACACAATAAAAACATACATTATCTATCAATTTAAAAAAGTACGCTTTGCCAATTACAAGATATAAACTAAGTTAAAGTAACACTCTTCCGTAAAAAATAAAATGTAATAGACACTGTATTCCATTTCTGCATGTTTATGCTCAGACTGACACAGTTTCTAACACAATCACTTGAAGGTTCCTATTGCCTGTTCCCAGTGAATTTTGCAAACAACAAATTGGTCTTTACTCTGTCAGACTATTTCACAATGTTGCTTAGAACGTAAAACATAATAAATGATCTGAACAAAACCAGACAAGAAACCTAGTGCTAATAGAAGGGAAATGACTACTAGCCATAGCCATAACATACCATGTAACTGACGAAGGAGAATCTGCTTCTGTAGTAAGAAGAAACTCTTCTACGTTAAGAGAGGGCCAGTTCCATACAGGAGTTAAAGTGTAAATATCCCATAAACTCAGCACGTTCTGCAATAGAGACATTTCATTTACATGTCTTTTGTTTTGAGACAGAGTTTCGCTCTTGTCGCCCAGGCTGGAGCAGAATGGTGTGATCTCGGCTCACTGCAACCTCCGCCTCCTGGGTTCAAGTAATTCTCCTGCCTCAGCCTTCCGAGTAGCTGGGATTACTGGCGCCCACCACCAAGCCCGGCTAATTTTTTGTATTTTTAGTAGAGACGGGGTTTCACCATGCTGGCCAGGCTGGTCTCGAACTCCGGACCTCAGGTGATCTACCCACCTCGGCCTCCCAAAGTGCTGGGATTACAGGCGTGAGCCACCGTGCCTAACCTACATGTCTTAATGATTACAAATTTACATCTCAGGCCAGGCGCAATGGCTCACGTCTGTAATCCCAGCACTTTGGGAGGCCGAGCTGGGTGCATCACCTGAGGTCAGGAATTCGAGACCAGCCTGGCCAGCATGGTGAAACCCCGTCTCTACTAAAAATACAAAAAATTAGCTGGGCGTGGTGGTGGGAGCCTGTAATCCCAGATACTCGGGAGGCTGAGGCAGGAGAATTGTTTGAACCCAGGAGGCAGAGGTGGCAGTGAGCCAAGATCACACCATTGTGCTCCAGCCTGGGCGACAAGAGCGAAACTCTGTTTCAAAAAAAAAAAAATTTACATTTCAGGATCAACTTTTTTTGGTACATATACTGAAATAAACCACAGTACACAAGATAGTAATCCACCCTAGCTAAAACCCTTGTCTTTGTAAATCTGACATTTTTGTTGTAAAACATGATATCAAGTAAAAACATTGAAGGAGAAACAAGAAACATACATCAGTATCAAGAACAAAAAGTAGATTGTCTATTAGCTGGAACTTCTTTGCACCTACAAAAGAGAAAATAAGATGTCTAAGGATTTTATTTCAATATTTCATATATCTAAATAGTAAATTAACATATTCACAGAAAGGCAGAACTATATAACTACTAGGTCCTATTTTCTTTTATTTCTGCCTCTATTTCTGTTAGGTGATTACTAAAATGTAAAACCTCCCAAAATGAAGACTAACAGCTGTAACATGTCAAGAACTGTCCTGTATGTGAACAACCATCAAACTATTCTGGCTTGTTTCAAAGAGTGGTAGGGTAAAATGACCCATATGCCAGCCTAAGTACACTGACATAAAAATTAAAACTCACCAATAATTGTCTAAAATAGTGTCATTAACTTATTTTACCTTTAATAATCTCTGCATCAATAAGGTTCTTAACTGTCATTCCTTTCTTGGAAAAATCTGGTTCCCATTTTGAGAATGCACAATTGCCAGTTCCCTGGAAAAACGAACACAGCACATCAACTGCAAATTTCATTCTTAGACCTGAGCCTTCCTCAAAGTAGAAACATGTAAGTTTTATAGGTTATTAACTTTAAAATATATTTATATATTCTAACTAGGTTTCATCTTCCAGTTCCTCTCTTGATTTCAGAAGAGAATGAAAAAAACAGTGTACTATTGGAATTCATGGTTATTACAACTTTTTTTTTTTTTTTCACTAATTTGAGACAGGGTCTCACTCCATTGCCCAGGCTGGAGGGCAGTGATCACAGCTCACTGCAGCCTCAAACTCCTGGACTCAAGCGATCCTCCCACCTCAGCCTCCCCAGTAGCTGGGACTACAGGTGAGCATCACCACACCTGGCTAATTTACTATTTGTTGTAGAGACTGGGTCTCCCTATGTTGCTGAGACTGGTCTCAACCTCCTGGGCTCAAGCAATCCTCCCACCTCAGCCTCTCAAAGTGCTGGGATTATAGGCATGAGCCACTATGCCAGCCTTCACACAAATATTTAATGAGCATATTTAGGCAACTAGCACTAAAGACATGCAGTGAACTTTTAAGACCTCTTCCAGGATTATGATTAAAATATAGTCTTTGATAAGTATTTGCATTAAAATACCACAAATAATTGGAAAAAATTTTATAAATACTAATTTTAAATTATTTGAAACCCTGGTGAAATGTTAAATTAGATATGCACAATATGGAAATATGACTGCTTCTTTTCTCTCTTTTTTGTTTCTTCTTTTTTTAGAGACGGGATCTCACTGTGTTGCCAGGCTACAGTGAAGTGGCGTGATCATAGGTGCGATCAGAGCTACTGCAGCCTCATACTCCTGGGCTCAAGCAATTCTTCTGCCTCAGCTTCCCAAGTAGCTGGGACCATAGGTGCATGCCATGGCACGCAGCTGACTACTACTTAATATATAAATTTGGCAAGTAAAAATGTTGTAAATGTTGTAATTATATTGAGTTTTTGCCTAATCTTTGAATATAACATTAGGTGTTTTCCTCCAAAATTCAAAGAAATTATGATCACAGTCATTGGAAGTGGCATACCAATAATGAAACGTTACTTTTTACATGTAACATGAGATATAAGACATTATACACAAGGTATATATGCCAATGGTTGTGAATGAATTGTGCTTTTCTATGTGCATGCTTGTTCACGTTCCCATTTCACTAATAACAAAACTTGCAAGTAGCCTAGCTAACCAAGACTAAGAATAACGTAGAATCACTTAGGAGGCAGAGATTACATCAAAGACACTTTACTCTTTTAGGACCATTCTCTAACACTAAGGTTCTTAACCTGACTTGAATTTCAAGATTCAAGGGATCTGTGAAGCTGGATGGGTAAAAAATTTACATCTTTATTTTCTCTAATCTCCATCTGAAACAGAATTTCTTTCACTTACGAATGTAGGCCACAAAAACCCCAAAAAACAAAAAGCAGTAGAATCAGCAGTCCCTGTGAGTATGTCACCAGTAGTAATTACACTTCCTATTAGAAAAAGTATGATAACCATAATTTTGAAGTAGTGGTGTGTAAATATTTATTTCAAGATAGCTGCAATAATGTGCTGTTTTTCCATCAGTGACAAAGTCACAGGTACTGTAACAATGGAATTTTTGGTTTTGTTTTCTGTCGTTTTTGTCTGCTCTCATAATTGAAAAAAAATGCTATACTTCAGGTAAAGATTAGGTAAAGATGCAATATTTTTTCCAAGACAGAAATTTATTTATTGAGTTATTTTTAATTACCTTAATATTATAATTTCCTTGTTTCGGTTATATGTTACACATTATTTTGCAATTTAACCAAAACAGTAACATTTTCGTGAGAAAACGCTTCAGGCAACAAAAAAAAAACTTTATAAAAACAATTACCCCAATTATCACAGGAACTTCACTTGCTAAATCTCCAGCCACAAGACCGAGACAACCAAGAGTATGATAATTTTCAGTAGAAATAAAACTGGACTTGATTTGTCCTTGTAACTGCAAAATTAAAAACAACAAGAATGTCATATATATAATACATATTTATGCTCCACAAAATCACTAAAATCAGTTTGTATCAATCAGTTATAAATCTTTTTTTTTGTGTGTGACAGAGTTTTGCTGTTATTGCCCAGGCTGGAGTGCAATGGCACAATCTCGGCTTACCGCAACCTCTGCCTCCCAGGTTCAAGCAATTCCCTGCCTCAGCCTCCCGAGTAGCTGGGAGTACAGGCATGCGTCGCCACCCCATGGCTAATTTTATGTTTTTTAGTAGAGATGGGGTTTCTCCATGTTGGTCAGACTGGTCTCAAACTCCCGACCTCAGGTGATCCGCCCCCTCGGCCTCCCAAAGTGCTGGGATTACAGGCGTGAGCCACTGCGCCCGGCCTAAATGTATTTTTAAGTAGAAATGTTATTAAAATGTTGTATCATAATAATTTCTAAAATATCAAGAAGTAGACCAATTATATACAGAAACACTACTACATTTACATTAAATGTAATTTTTTTGAGAGGACACTATGGATTTATTTTCTTACCTTTTTTGCTGTACTGAAGTCTACATTCTCAATTGCTGCATTAAAAAAGAAAGCAGGCTAAATGTATAATATTAATCTATAAAACAATACAAGTCACCTCTTTTGTGTCAAGGTGAAATTAAATACAATCTAGTTCAAAGAACACTGGTGAGAATCAAGTTTTGCCCCTGACCAAAATACGCAAACTGTGACATGTTAGATTCAGGGGACCAGCCAGTACCTCTCCATACTTACCCTTACCACCTCTCTTCCTACTAAGGGGATCTTCTCCCTACTCCAACGCTCCTGCACTTCTCACTGTTTGGAATAGCTCTTACTTTTCTAGCTCCATCATTAAGCTATGGAAAACAAATCTTCAATCTTGTCATATACCCAAGACCTAGCACAGGCCTGGCAAGTCAATATTTTTAAAATGTCACTTAGGCTGGGCGCAGTGACTCATGCCTATAATCCTAGCACTTTGGGAGGCCGAGACTGGCAGATCACTTGACAATGAGGAGTTGGAGACCAGCCTGGCCAACATGGTGAAACCTCGCCTCTAGTAAAAATACAAAACTTAGCCAGGTGTGGTTGTGCGCACCTGTAATCCCAGTTACTTGGGAGACTGAGGCACAAGAATCACTTGAACCTGGGAAGTGGAGGTTGCAGTGAGCCGATATTGCACCACTGCACTCGAGCCTAGGCAACAGAGCGAGACTCCATCTCAAAAATAAATAAATAAATAAAAATAATAAAATAAAATAAAATATTATATACCTGTTCCAAATCCATTCCTCAAACACTTTCATTTGGCTCTGAGGGATAAATGGTCCAGACTACTAGCTTAAAACATATTTTACATTATTGTTCTGCACTATATATATTTTTCTTTTGAGACAGAGTTTCTCTCTTGCTGCCCAGACTGGAGTGCTACGGCGTGATCTCAGCTCACCATACCTCTGCCTCCTGGGTTCAAGCAATTCTCCTGCCTCAGCCTCCCGAGTAGCTGGGATTACAGGCGCCTGCCACCCTGCCTGGCTAATTTTGTATTTTTAGTAGAGACAGGGTTTCTCCATGTTGGTCAGGCTGGTCTTGCACTCCCAACTTCATGTGATCTGCCCGCCTTGGCCTCCCAAAATGCTGGGATTATAGGCATGAGCCACTGCGCCCGCCCTGTTCTGCACTATTAACACTACATAGTCATTTCCATTTCCAGGTTCATTCACCACATTAAAAAGCATTTATTATTGTGCTAGCAAATGTCTTGTCTTTCCCAACTAAACTGTTGAAGCTTTTCTCCCCAACTAAGCTCCTTGAAGGCCATACCAAAATTACATTTATTCAAATACTGTTCCAGCTCTAATAGAGGAGAATAAGTGTACTCTGAATACTTAAAAGTATGCTCAATTATAACTAAATACAATTAAGATAAAATAAGCTTAAAGAGAGTACTTAAAATTTTACTAATTACTAAATTAATAAAACTAGTAAATATTGCTGCAAATCAATAATAAAAATGTAATGTATTACGTACCTTGTTGAATTTTTAAAAGCTGAAGGTTTGTAATACAAAAAAATCCACTGTATGTAAGAAGTAGCATATAATAGGTACCTATTGAAATAAAACCAGAATCAGTTTCTTTTTTTTGAGATGGAGTCTCATTCTGCCGCCAGGCTGGAGTGCAGTGGTGCAATCTCGGCTCACTGCAACCTCTGCCTCTAGGGTGCAAGCGATTCTCCTGCCTCAGCCTCCCGAGTAGCTGGGAGTACAGGCGTGCACCACCACGCGCAGCTAATTTTTGTATTTTTAGTAGAGACAGAGTTTCACCATGTTGGCCAGGATGGTCTCGATCTCTTGACCTTGAGATCCACTTGCCTCAGCCTCCCAAAGTGCTGGGATTACAGGTGAAAGCCACTGCACATAGCCGGGAATCAGTTACTTTAAAAGGCACATGGATATAAAATTTAAACCACCGTCTGTTTGAATGTGGCTTTTGAACAAAGAGAGAAAGAAAGAGAGAGAGAAAGAGGCGGGGCGCAGTGGCTCACGCCTGTAATGCCAACACTTTGGGAGGCCAAGGCAGGTGGATCATGAGGTCAGGAGCTCGAGACCAGCCTGACCAACATGGTGAAACCCCGTCTCTACTAGAAATACAAAAATTAGCTGGGTGTGGGGGTGTGCGCCTGTAGTCCCAGCTACTCAGGAGGCTGAGGCAGGAGAACTGCTTGAACCTGGATGGCGGAGGTTGCAGTGAGCCGAAATTGCACCGCTACATTCCAGCCTGGGCAATAGAGTGGAACTCCATCTCAGAAAAAAAAAAAAAATAGAGAAAGAGGAAGGAAGGAAGGAAGGAAGGAAGGAAGGAAGGAAGGAAGGAAGGAAAGAAGGAAGGCAAGCACGCACGCACAAACGGTATCTTTTTTTTTTTGAGACAGGGTCTCAATCTATCTCCCAGGCTGGAGTGCAATGGCATGACCACAGCTCACTGCAGCCACAACCTCCAGGCCCAAGAGATCCTCCCAACTCAGCCTCCTGAGAAGGTGGGACTACACGCACCAACACATCTGGCTAATTTTTTATTTTTTGTAGAGGTGGAGGTCTCTCTATGTTATCCAGGCTGGTTTCGAGCTCAAGCGATGCTCCCACCTCAGTCTCCTAAAATGCTAGGATTACAGATGTGAGCCACCACACACAGCCTGCTCATTTACATTCTAATAATCAAATATAGTAATGTTATAGATAAAACTTATTTACAAAGAACTAGTAACTTATTCGCAAAAAACATCGTTAACTTCTTTTGAAACTTTTATTAAAATAACAAACTTCATGTGCCAGAAAAAAAAATCTCAGATATCTCAAAATAAATTAAGGCCCAGTTAACATTTGTTGAAGTAAAAATATAATAAATATACTGAAGCCCAGAAACACATTTTAAAAGAATATAATGTCTCCTTGGTAACCTATAGAAATCTCGAAACTGTAGAAATAAGTTTAGAATATTATATTTAGGAAAAGTATATGTTTAAACCTCTAAAAAGAGCTAAAATATAAAAATTGTTTCTTACAATATTAATTGCATTGATAGGAAGAAGTGTATTAAAAAATACAGAAAAGGCCGGGCACAGTGGCTCACAGGCGGATCACCTGAGGCGGGCGGATCACCTGAGGTCAGGAGTTCGAGACCAGCCTGGCCAACACGGTGAAACCCCGTCTCTATTAAAAACAAAAAATTAGCCAGGCGTGGTAGCAGGCGCCTGTAATCCCAGCTACTTGGGAGACTGAGGCAGGAGAATCGCTTGAACCCGGGAGGCAGAGGTTTCAGTGAGCTGAGGTCGTGCCATTGCACTCCAGCCTGGGGGACAAGAGGGAGCGACTTCATCTCAAAAAAAAAAATAATAATAAAAAATAAAATAACAGAAAAAATGTAGATAGCATAACAATGAATTTATATAATTTATTAACCAAAAATTGGAATTTTTGATTAGATACTAGTCAGAAGTCATTCCGGCTGGGTACAGTGGCTCACGCCTGTAATCCCAACACTTTGGGAGGCCCAGGCAGGTGGATCACTCACTTGGGGTCAGGAGCTTGAGACCAGCCTGGCCAACATGGTGAAATTCCATCTCTACTAAAAATACAAAAATTAGCCAGGCGTGGTGGCACACGCCTGTAATCCCAGCTACTCAGGAGACTGAGGCAGGAGACGCTTGAACCCGGGAGCTGGAGGTTGCAGTGAGCTGAGATTGCGCCACTGCACTCCAGCCTGGGAGACAAAGCGAGACTCCATTTAAAAAATAAAAAATAAAAAAAAAAAGTCATTCAAAAATTCAAGAAAACTTACCTTCATTTGAACCATCCTTCTCAATGACAAGATTCTGGTAAGTCCGCCGATTTTCATCATTAGCTTTCCGAACAAATGCCTAAATGCAAATTAATTTCAAATAATAAAATTAAACACAGAAAACTACAATCAAGGATTTTAGTCTTTAAAGTTATCAATTATCATTAGCAATAATTCTGCCTACATTCCAAACATCTTACTTTTAAAATGGAAAACTATTTTGGACAAGCGTACTAAATACCTTTGAGACTGCTCTCTTGTGATTCCTTGAGCCACAAGCTTACTAAACCTGGCCTAAGAAAATTTTTGTTTGACCTGGTGTTAATTTCTATTACGTAAGAGCCAAGAATTTGGGATCCAAGCTATAGTAACACCTTCAAAGCTTAATTTTTCAAAAAAACATTCTTTTAATTTAAAATACCGTTCAGTACAGGGAAGAAACTCAATTCTGGCAGGCAAGAGACATTGTAACCAAGACCCCAAAGGCTTCATATGTCTGGACATTCCCTCCTCTACCTTCCTGCTTCCCTTAACAAGCTGCCTGCTCCTGACTTAGCTGACCAAGCTGAATTCCCAACCACACAAGAACCTAACCGTTCGTCTCTTGGAGTTACTTCTCCCAAAGTTGTTAAAGTGGGACTCTCGCATTCCTAATAAAAACCTGACCATCTTCCAAGATTAGTAAAGCAGGACTCTAGCACCTGACCAGATCCAGCCAGCTCAGCACAAGACGGACTTCAGCCCTGGCCTTTAACCGAGTATTTCCTCATTTTAACCTAATTATGATACTAAAAATCATACCCAGGGATGGAGATTTAACATGCTAATGAGACATACAACACATGAAAAAGGATGCGATCAATTCACAGGTGCTGAAAGTTCCCTGCCTCTACATGCCTACAAATCACTTTTCTCACCTCAGCTTCCTCAAAACGACAAGAGCTATAAACCCTTCAGGAAGCTAGCACTTGGCATCCCTTTCCCATACGGTGTTCCCTTGAGATTCCTTGAGCCACAAGCCTACTAAACCTTCCCTGGGAAAATTTCTGTTTCACCTGGTGTTAATTTCTATTTACACGAGAGCCAAAAACTCAGGATTCAAGCTGTGGTAACACCTTCAAAGCTTAATTGTTCAAAAAAACATTGTTTTAATTTAAAACACATATTAAGTAATAGTTTGCTGAAGTTTTAGTTGTCTAAGAGATTATTTAGAATTCAAATAATGAAAATTAAAATATAACAAGATCTTACATTAGTGAGTAGTGTTTGTTTTGATGTTACATGAATAAGATGTAGGTTGCCACTTCTCTCGCCAACCAAAAGAAACTTTCCTTCTTGACAAAGGCCAACTACATCCACTTCAGTATCTGAAAATTTCAAATCAAAGTTACAAGCTTCCTTTGAAAATCCTTATTTCCAATACAAAAAAAATACAAATTTTTCTCATTAAAAAGCCAACGATTACTTAAGTTACTTCTAAATACTGCAAAACAGATGTGATGAAAGTAAAAAAGAATGTTGTTAACTTTTATTCAGTCAACAAGTATTTTTTGTTTTGTTTTGTTTTTGAGACAGCATCTCGCTCTACTACCCAGGCTGGAGTGGAGTGGTACCACCTCAGTTCACTGCACCCTAGACTTCCTGGGCTCAGTCAGGCAATTCTCCTGCCTCAGCCTCCCAGGTAGCTGGGACCACAGGTACACACTACTATGGCCAGCTAATTTTTTGTACTTTTTGTAGAGATGGGGTTTTGCCATGTTACCTAGACCGGTCTTGAACTCCTGGGCTCAAGCAATTGTCCATCTCTGCCTCCCAAAGTGCTGAGGTTACAGATGTGAGCCACTGCACGCAGCTGGTCAACAAATATTTATTGAGCACTTACTTTATGCTAAGCATTGTTCTAGGCCTTTTGCATATATCTGAGAACAGTAACAAAAGATTACCACCATCACAAAGTTCATATTCTAAGGCAGAAATAGCGGATAAATGACCAGGCGTGGTGGCTCACACCTGTAATCCCAGCACTTTGGGAGGCCGAGGCAGGCAGATCACTTGAGGTCAGGAGTTCGAGACCAGTCTGGCAAACATGGTGAAACCCCGACTCTACTAAAAATATAAAATTAGCTGGGCATGGTGGCATGTGCCTGTAATCCAGGCTACTCGGGAGGCTGAGACAGGAGAATTGCTTGAACCCAGGAGGTGGAGGTTGCAGCGAGCTGAAATCACGCCACGGCACTCCAGCCTAGGCGACAGAGTCACACTGTCACAAAAAAAAAAAAAAAAAAGGAAATAGCTGATAAACAATTAGCATAATAAACAAACTGTAAGACATGTAAGAAGGTGATAGATGTTCTGGAAAAAAAATGTAGAGCCAGGTAAGAGACCTCAGAAGAACGGTGTGTTTGCAGTGTTAATTAGAAAGCTCACAGGATACATGAAAGAGGTCAGGAAATTAGCCAAATGGCTAAGATGGAAGAGCATTCAGAGCATTCAGACGGTGGGCACAGCTCGAGGAAAGATCATCGGGTGGGAAGTGCCTGTTGTATTCATGCAAAAGCAAGAAGGCCAAGGTAACAGAAAACAAAGCAGAAAGGGAAGGGACAAGAAAAACAGTAACATGTAACTGGCTTATGAACACAAGTTATTCTGCCACAGTATCTTTCCACAAATGGTTCATCATTACCGCATCCCACCATTTCATAGAAGAAACTGTGAATCTTGTGGACTAATCAGGGTCAATACGTCAAGATTTCATAAAACACAAGTTTATTGCCTCCATGTTGCAATCAAGATATGTTCCAAAATGCATGTGTTCTGTTTCCTTTTCAGTTGTCTAAGTTCTTATGTAAAAGTTTCAACAACTATCTGTCTCTTAAAATTTCTACTCAATGGCCGGGTACAGTGGCTCACGTCTGTAATCCCAGCACTTCGGGAGGCCAAGGTAGGTGGATCATTTGCAGTCAGGAATTTGAGACCAGCCTGGCCAACATGGTGAAACCCGACCCTACTAAAAATACAAAAATTACCAGGCACGGTGGCGGGCACTTGTAATCCCAGCTACTCAGGAGGCTGAGGCAGAAGAATCTCTTGAACCTGGGAGGTGGAAGTTGCAGTGAGCTGAGAGAACACCACTGCACTCCAGCCTGGGCCACAGAGCGAGACTCTGTCTCAGCCAAAAAAAAAAAAAGGCCAGGCACAGTGGCTCACGTCTGTAATCCCAACACTTCAGGAGGTCGAGGCGGGTGGATCACGAGGTCAGGAGTTCAAGACCAGCCTGGCCAACATAGTGAAACCCTGTTTCTACTAAAAATACAAAAAAAAAAAAAAAAATTAGCAGGGCGTGGTGATGGGTGCCTATAGTCCCAGAACCTGGGAGGCTGAGGCAGGAGAATTGCTTAAACACTGGAAGAGGAGGTTGCAGTGAGCCAACATCACACCACTGCACTCTGGCCTAGGTGACAGTACGAGACTATATCTTAAAAAAAAAAAAATTTCTACTCAAGAAAGAAAAAACTTTCGGGGCCGGGTGTGGTGGCTCATGCCTATAATCCTAGCACTTTGAGAGGCCAAGGCAGGCAGATCACAAGGTCAGAAGATCGAGACTATCCTGGCTAACACGGTGAAACGCTATCCCTACTAAAAAAATATATATATATATATATATATACAAAAAATTAGCCAGGCATGATGGCGGGTGCCTGTAGTCCCAGGTATTCGGGAGGCTGAGGCAGGGGAATGGCGTGAACCCGGGAGGCAGAGTTTGCAGTGAGCTGAGATTGTGCCACTGCACTCCAGCCTGGGCGACAGAGCGAGATTCCATCTCAAAAAAAAAAAAAAAAGCTTTCATAATATTCTTGCCTAAGCTCAGTACCATCATTGATTTACCCCTTAATTCACTCTTTTTTGTTTTTGAGACAAGACTCTTACTCTTGTCACTCAGGCTAGAGTACAGTGGCATAATCTTGGCTCACTGCAACCTCTGCCTCCTGGGTTCAAGCAATTCTCCTGCCTCAGACTCCTGAGTAGCTGGGATTACAGGTGTATGCCACCATGCCCAGCTAATTTTTGTTTTTGTTTTTGTTTTGGAGACAGTCTTGCTCTGTCACCCAGACTGGAGTGCAGTGGCATGATCTTGGCTCATTGCAACCTCCACCTCCCAGGTTCAAGCAATTCTCCTACCTCAGCCTCTCAAGTAGCTGAAACTACAGATGCACACCAGCACGGCCAGCTAATTTTTATATATTCGTAGAGAAAACGGGGTCTCACCGTGTTGCCCAGGCTGGTCTCAAACCCCTGAGCTCAGGCAATCTACCCACCTGGGCCTTCCAAAGTACAAAGATTACAGGCGTGATTTTTGTATTTTTAGTAGAAATGGGGTTTCACCATGTTGGCCAGGTTGGTCTTGAACTCCTGACCGCAAGTGATCCAGCGGCCTCAGCCTTCCAAAGTGCTGGGATTACAGGCACAAGCCACCATGTCCGGCTTTAATTCACTCTCAAGTCCACATCTGCATGTACTTGAAGTCTTGTAGCTTGATGAAGAATTAATTCATAAGTATGTTAAAAGATTTTTAGAGAGCTATTCATTCTAAAAATATGCAAATATCCATTAATGATACCGAAATTCTGTACAAGATTCAGGAATTTGAACACAAATGAGCTCGTGTTTTCCATAGTATTCTAACACAAGCAAGCAAACTAAATTGTTGCTTTACATGTGTATTTCCCCTTAGATGTAAAGAGAGAAGGGATCTCAGTGTCCTTTGACTCTAGTGCCCAGCACAAACAAGGCACTAAGCACTCAAGCTTAATTACTTGAAATTGGTCGAATTTGAAACCTTAGAAATAATAAAGAGGAGGCAATCCAGCAGAAATTGGCAGCAGATATTTGACTTCCAATTTATCTTACTTCATTACATTATACTTACCAAAGACAAGATGCAATTGAAGTGATCTACAAATACTGTCAAGCAATATCACTGATTGGTCGGCTACAATAATAAACCCATCACTTAAACTGCATGCCTGTATCTTTGGATTTAATGAGGCCTGTGGGAGAGAAAAGCATGACGAAAATTCAAACATTTTTATACGAATTTAACAATACTTATCAATAGTATCATCAAATTCCCCAATACCCCACTTTAAAACTTGACAGGCTTTTTTTCTTTGCCCCTCGATCTACTTAATCATCGAGTTTTTCTTTGTATGGTATATCTTGAATCCATCCAGGATCCTAAGTAGAAAAACAGTTTAGGATGGGCAAGAAGGGCAAGGGATTCTCACGTTCAAGTCCTTGTTTCCTCAGGATTGACTTTATGATGCAGGAGCCAGGCATTAACATAATGAATTAATCAAGATTGGCATGAAGTCTTGGTGTCGTGGATATGCTAGGCAGGGGAATGGTGGTGAACTGTGAACTGGAGGGTCCACACCCCCACAGACATGAAAGAATAGAATCTGCTTCACACCAGCCAGTGGGAAGCCCGGTGGGGATGCAGCACTGGCATGGCCATACCTGCCCATTCATCAACAGAAGCTGGATCTTTATGTGACATGTTCTGATTTTTAAATATTGGCAGCTAAGTCAACATTTTTAAAAACACTAGACAAGCCAAATCAGAGTCTCCTGTATTCAGTTCTGTTGCCGAGAGCTTCCCACACATAGCTGTCTTGAAGCATTGGACAGATTAGTGGTTGAGGAAGCTCAGTCCCTTACTAGCTGAGTGATCTTAGGCAAAAGTGTCAACTAACTCTCTGTAAAAGGGTAATAATAATAATAATACCAACAAGGTTCACCTAAATAAAGATGAAACGAATTCATGTAAAGGGCTTATAAGAGAGCCCTGCACATAGTATATGCTCAATAAATGTTAACTAGTCCTATTCTTTGACAAAATGCAGCTATTCACCTCATTTTATGACTATTCCAAAAGTCATCTTCTCCAGGTGTAATCCTTGAAAATTCCCCAACATTCTGATCCCTCTTCTATCTTATTTTTTTCTTTACTTTGAGACAGGGTCTCCCTCTGTCGCTCGGCCTGGAATGCAGTGATGCCATCATAACTCACTGCAGCCTTAAACACCTGGGCTCATGGGATCTTCGTGCCTCCTCCACCCAAGCAGCTGGGACTACACATGCACACCACCACACCTGGCCAATTTATTTATTTATTTATTGTTTTAGAGATGGGGTTTTCACCATGTAGGCAAGGCTGGTCTAGAACTCCTGGACTCAAATGATCCTTCCACTTCAACCACCCAAAATGTCGGGAATACAAGTGTGAGGCACTGCGCCCGGCCTCCTTCTTATCTTTTTACTTGCTTCTTCAACTAGTAAAAGGTTACACGAAGGCACTGCCAACAAGGAATGGCACTAAAATTAGCCAGGCATGGTGGAGGTCACATGTAATCCCAGCTACTGGGAGGGTAAGGCACGAGAATCACTTGAACCTGAGAGACAGAGGTTGCAGTGAGCCGAGATAACACCACTGCACTCCAGCCTGGGAAACAGAGCAAGACTCCACCTCAAAAAAAAAAAAAAAAAAAGAACGGCACTATATCTTCTAGGGATCTGTCCACACACAGTTCTCCCTGCCTAAACTGTTCTCCTTGTTAAGGCCCGAAGCAAGTGTAGTTTATTTTTAATTTTTATTTTTTTTTAGAGACGTTGTCTCCCTACGTTGCCCAGGCTGGCCTTGAACTCCTGGGCTCAAGCCATTCTCCTACCTCAGCCTCTGAGTAGCTGGGACTACAGGACATGCCACCACACCGGGCTCACACATAGTTTCTTAAGGAAATGCTCCTTAAACTAGGCTGAAGGGCAGGAGAATGGCGTGAACCCGGGAGCGCGCGGCGGCCTGGCGTGAGCGCTGAGAATCCGGCCACTGCACTCCAAGCTGGGCGACACGAGCGACGAACTCCCGTCTC